ACTTATATATAATTAGATATGGGACTATGTATAATCTTGCATGGCTGTGTATTGCTCCATATATAGTTATGTATAATTATATATGATTATATATAATTTTATATAATTATATATGTGATTCCCTATATAATCATATATAATCATATATGATTATATACAATTATATATGATTATATAAAAAAATTTTTTCTCGGGAAGTATATAAAAAATTATTTTCGAGTTTTAAAATAAAAGCATAGAAATATTTTTTTATATTTTAGAAAAAGATTTTATAATTGTCGAAAATATTTTACAGCAGAGGTATTAATTGCTTGCATAATTTATACAAACATCACAATTGCTAATAGTATAATTAGCTAACATTTAATTGCCTGCTGTGCTATTTCATGACCGATGATTAATTACTTCCTATCTAGATATTTATCCGATTGATTGCTCGGTGTTTTTGAGTATTATAATTAGTAACATGTTGTTTAATTTTAAACCTTAACTATTTAGTGGCCATTTCAATCCAACTGCCGCATGGATGTCATATAAATGAACATATTCATATAAATGAATGAATGAATTTCATATATGTCAAAAAATGAAATTTAATATGCTTTTTTTATTTTTAATATTTTTAATCAATGTATATAATAGAATCATTTAAACTTATAAACATTAATAGCTTTCAATTTACAGAAATCTAGTTAAAAATTTTTGCATTTTTTAATTTTCTGAGCAAATTTAATACTGAAATACTTGATAAAAAATAATATCTTCGATCTCTTACTTTGTTCTATTTTGGAACATTGCAATTATATTTCTAGTTGTTCTATTCAAAATTTTTAATTAATATAACTCTGGCACTTTGCATTAAAAAACTATACAAAATTGAGAAACTGACATGTTAAATTTTTTTTTTCAAATAATTTTTCACAGAAAATAGAATGAAGAAATAAGAAATTTTCTTTCTAAAGTTCTTTACAAAATAATAATAAATTCGCAAATACACTGAAAAAAAAATTAACTTGAATCAAGATGAGAAATTCTTGAATTAAGTAAAATTTACTTAGACTAAGAAAAATTTCTTAGTGTAAGAATTTTTTTACTCAAATCAAGAAAATGAAATTCTTCAAAATTATTTACTTGATTCAAATAAAATTTTTTTTCTGTGTAATACTTTAATGAAGAGTTTTTTTGCACATTAAGGTCAAAAAACTCATTAGATACGGCTAAATTTTATTTTTTCCTACATAAATTACCCGAAAAAAAGAATGGGATGAAAAAAAGTCCAATTTTTTAATTTTTCAAATTTATATGGTGAAAATATTTGGATATTTCAATAACTTGATAATGAATTACTGATTTACTTGTAATAAATAATAAAGTTAAGGCAACTTTAACATTTAACTAATGAGTATATTATAGCTTATAGTATTAATTACATAAGCTTTAACTCTTATAAAGACAAACAAATACGCGAAAAACTAAATAACTCAAATATCCAATTAATTATTTGATTGATCAAGTATGAGTATCATTGCTATATATTAGTTCATTTGAAACAAACTAATAAATTTTATAACTATTAGTTTAGATATCTGTTGCATTTAACTTTTGCCTTAAAAAAGTTCTTAGAAATATTTATTACGAAGAGAATCGTTAAAAAAAAAATATCACTTAATTTTTTACCTCAGCTCTATTGATCGAGTAATATATTTTGTCATTGCAAATTTTCGTAATTTTAAAAAACTCTTCAAAAATAATACCTTTATGTATGATGATCTTTAATTCATTACTTTTTCAAAATTTTTACAGTGTAGGAACATTATTTAATATTAATGATAATAATGTTCTGGTTAGTGCAATATCATCATAAAAGATGAATTTTAATTATAATTATAACTTTAGTCAGTGGGGTGGGTTCATAAACTAAAACCACAATTTTAGCATGTAACAAAATAACATTGTAGTCGCTTCTTTGTTTTGTGTATTATCATGCTTTGATAAATCACTATAAAAAAATCGCTTATTTAATTTCTTATGTGTCCATAAATAAATTCTCTCTGAACTTTGAATAATATTAAATAAAAATAATTTAAATATTAGCAGCTGAAGAAATCAGAGGTATTTCGCGAACGTATCTTCTACACTCGGCTTTAGCAAGAAAATTCTACGGTAAAAGTAATAATTTATATTTTTTAATAATTGAATGACTCGTCATTAGCTTAAAATCTTTATAGTGATCAAAAATTATTCTTTTAATAATTACTGGAGTTATATACTAGTGCGCTCGGCCTTTAATTATTAATGTCAAATAATAATATAACTCTTAATTAGTCTTCTCTAATTCCGAGTTATTCTCATTTTTATTTATCTAAAATGTTTTTGTGTGGGCGTAATAAGTAACAAACGGTATTTTAAAATTATACTTACTGTTTATGGGAAAGTTCATAGTTATTATTTCAGAATTCAAAATTTTAATTCTATTAAATAACTTTATAAATTTAAATATTAAAAATTAATTTTTGAACTTTTGAATTTAATGGAGTCGTTAATTTATTTTGTAGGTGGTGAAAGAATAAGTAATATGATAACAAAGTTCAATGAACGAAGAGCAGCAGGTATTTTGGCACAACCAAGAGTGGGAAGAACGATGGGAGGAACAAGTCTTACTAGGTCTGATGGTCCTACAGGTTTGGTTTCATATCCTAGAGTTGGCCGATCAGATCACTCTTCCTCTTATATCAACTTGAATCAAGTAAATCCTATTAAATTAAACCTTGATCCACGAGAACCATCTCATAACTTCAATTCTGATGTTTCAATGGATCTCGATTATCAAGGTAGGTCATTTTTTAATTTAAAATAGCTGTAAAATATTTTAAAATAAAAATCTAATTGATACCATTCGGCTGCCTAATTTAAAGACACAGTAACTGCAAAATTTTGATACCTGATTTTTTTTAGTATTGCTGGATTTTTTACAACTTTTAAACCTTAATTTCAAGTATTTTTTCTTAAAAATATTTATATTCAAGTATTTTCTATTCATAAATTAAATTTTTCATCAATTTGGCGCGCAAACTTTTTTTTAATAAAAAATATTTTTTTTAATTTTAAAATTGTCAATTACTGTGTTTTGAAATTGGACATCCCCATTGTTGATCCAAGAAAAATTATTTTGAAGAGAACTTTACGTCTTGATTCAAGAATTCCTTATCATAAAACTCATTTTTTTAGCGAAGAAAAATTCTACGAATCTGATAAAAAATATATTATCTTTGTGAGGTATAATAAAATTCTTCATCAAGAAGAACTTACTCTTCAACTAAGGATAATTTCGTTTTCCTTAAATATTTCATATTTTTAGTTTAAAAAAATTTTTTCTTCATTCAAAATATTAAAAAATACTTAACAAATAAGAACAAAAAAAATATTTTATTTGAACTTATTCTCAAACGGCGGGAAATTATTTTTAAAAAAAGAAAAGTGAGAGAATTTTTGGTATTCTTGGTTAGCAAACGAGTCGATAATATTTCAATGATTACCACTTATCTTAATTCACAAAAAGGAAACTTTCAAGTAAAATATATTGCATCTGTTTGTCATTTAAAAGTTTTATGTTCTTGATTCAAGAGTGAATGTCTTCACCCTGTTAAAAAAAAAGAATTAAAAACGAGCAACAATGTCAATCTTCCATAAGAGAAGAAATTCAAAAGTATTGAAAAGAATTAAAATTTCGTTATTCCTAATAATTTTTAATCAATGCAATTAAAAATTCTGAGTATCTCGGAATAAGAGGGAAAATTTTGAAGAAAATACTTTTTTTTTTTTTAGTGTAAAAATCATAATTTTTTTAAGTAATTTTATCTAATCTATAATTCATAATTTTTTTAGTAAACTGAATTGTGTCACTTTATAAACTTCAAATTAATAATGAAAAATATTTTTTTTGTTGGGTAATTTGTTAGTTTCATTACTTTTTAGAACGTCTCGACAGCGATGAAAAAACATGGAAACCAATCGACATTTTAACAAAAGGTGTTCTATGGGCCGGCATTAAACCAAGACGTGAAACAAGAACAGAACAAAAACATTTGAGATTGTACCGCAGCGAGGGTGACACTGATGAAAACTGGATTGCTTTGCCAGTTCAACTGCAAGGTTTATATAAATTTATTGACACACAAAGTAATGTTTATGAATAAATTATTTCCAGATATCTGATCTTTTGTTATTGCTTTAGATTTTTCAGATTCAGAGCCGCAGCAACAATCATCTCAAGATGAATCGAAAATCACGAGGGAAATAAATCATGCTTGATCGGATATCCTTAAATCTTAAAGAATACGCATTTTGATTTCCCAATGGAAGATAAATTTATAAAAATAAACTAAATCCAAAGCTTCCATTGATTAATTTCAATTCTTTACAATTCTGCGCAAATAAACTTCAAAGCTGAAAATAATTGGCAACTAATTTAATTACATCAGATCAGAGAAAATATAAATTGACAATGTATTTTAATCAATTTTTATAAGTTAAACTATTATTGTTATTCATAGCAATGTATATTAAATGAAAAAACTATGTATTTTAATGTTTATCTATATGTGTACTGTTCTAACTGAAGCTCGAGTGTTGAATAAATAATAATACACTTATGAATTATTTTTATTTCTTCCGCAAGTTAATAATATTCTTCAATACGTGGAGAGTAAATAAATGTACAAAAACATTGATAATAGTAATAATAATTTAAATTTATAGTCATTTTATTAATTGACAAAGCGTTTATAATTAATATCGATGTTGACGATATCATTATTATTATTATTATTAATTAATTTATTTATTAATAATAAACGTACTTAGCGGCACGCAGGATTGTTTGAGTACTAATAATAATTATTTATGGGTTAGATGACGTAACAAATATATACACAGGTGGAATTAACAAACTAGTGATACAGAACCCTTGTTCTTCATTAGATAAACGATTTTTAAAAGTAATTGATCCGGTATCTAAAATCATTCATATATTTTATGTTTTATATTTCGTCTTTTATTCATTTTATTTAATATTATTATTATTATTATTTTTAATATATCTTAATAAATTAGTTATGATAACTTACATGATAGTTGAAATAAGAAAGTATTATATACCGTGAAATATGTATTTACATTATGAATTTATCATCGTAACATTAATTATATATTAGCATCTATTATCATAATAATAAACATATCATTTCCAAATGCACATTGATAACACTCATAACATTTTTACAATCAGACAGTAGTATACTAAAGTGATACTCAACCATTATTTTTTTTTTTTTTCATACGACTAGTGGACAGACAGACAAACAACGAAACATACAAGATCAGATACTTTAATACTATCTTATAAATAATTTTTATCATTATAGTTAATTTATAATATTAATAAATTATTAATTAAAATTTATAATTCATTTCATAGGGAAACAAACTCAATCGGCGGTTTAATAACCGGAGGAGGAGGTGGTGAAAGCCGTAGATCATCAGTTAATGAAAATGTCGAGCTTCCAGTGGCAGTAACACGAGGCCCCATGTTGTCGTACTGTGACCCAAGATCAGTGCGTAGTGGTCTGCGAGGCAGAGTTGCAAAACTGGATATCATTGACGTTGCTGGTAAAGGAGTTGGAAAATTACTTTTATCAGTTATCGTTGGTGCATGAACTGGAATATCAAGTAAATCTGGATAACAACGTTCAACATCTTGTGGTAATGCTACTGAAATAAATATATTTCCGTATATACCAGAGGGTAAAACACCACCGGTGAATTCTGGTGGTGGTGGAGGAAATCCAGTTGTTGAACACGCTGTAACATTATTATTACGTAACCCCGTTGAATTAGTCCCACCACAATCGGGTCTAAGTCTCTCGACAGTAACTGTTGTGGCGTCGCAAATAGAAGCACACTCAGCAAGCTCCAAATCACCAGGACTACATGTATCTGCTAAACTACCCTGGCCACTAATACGTTCATTAGTATTGCATCCGCTGGTACCAGTTGTTGTCACGGATAAATCCAAAAGTTTTTTCTCTTGATCGCCAAAACTCGTACTGCCTTGAAGCTTTACTTTTTCGTGTCTGGTGCGCCTCCGGGAGCCTCCACAAAGACACAAGACCATCAGCACAGCAGATATTGAGGCAAACAATGCTGCGGTTCCACCACCAGCGAGCGTTACCCAAAGCAGCCAATTGTCTGTTTGTGACAAAGTTGGTGCTGTAAAAACACGTGGTACCACAATGTTAATGGTATCCTTAGCAGCACCGGCAATATTTCTTGCCTGACATGTGTATTCACCGGCATCACTATCACTGGCATTGTAAATAGTTATATTGTTCCACCTCTCTGGAAGTTTACCATCAGCATGGTAGTGATTAAACTCTGCGGATGATGTGAAAGTCACGATGTATGAAACTAATGGCGCATAGGGGCTTGATTCTGTGCTGCGACTTAGGTTTAGAAAGCCCCCGTTAAGCTGCCACCAAAATTCGGGCACTGGATCCCCTGAAATCAGGCAAGACAAACTCAAGTTCCCGTTTACTTCTTCTTGCATCGGGCTGGCGTAGACTTTTACTTGCGGAGCACAAGCGAAATCTGAGGGCTTTACGTCCTCCCAACGACGGCCCTCGAGTCTTGATGGTCCGTTGCATATTTGCGGTACTGAGTAGATTTTCTTGGGTGTGTCAGGTATCAGCCAATTACGAAAACTCTTCAATCGGCAGTCACAAGACCACTTGTTCGCCTCCAGGGTAAGTGTTTTCAAGTTTGGTAATGACGAGATTGTCGTAGCATCTAAGTAAGTTAATTGGTTATTATCGAGTTTCAATGATTCTAGATTAGGCAAATTGGCAAATGTAAGACTGTGTACTTTAGTTAACCCGCATCTTTGAAGCTCAAGAGTCTTGAGGTGTTTAAGTGTCGGGAATTGATGGCTTACAAGAGTCACCAGCGGATTACCGGTTAGAATTAACACTCTAAGTCTTTCATTCCCGTTGAAGGTATTTATCTCTAAACTCGCCACGTGATTGTCGGACAAGTCTACTTCGATTAGTATCCCCATGTCTTTGAAGGCATCCGCGTGGATTTCGTGGATTCCGGCATTCCGGAGAAATACTTTTTGCAAATTAACAAGCCCGTTTCGTTTAAAAATTTGATCTTGCAATTCTGGTATATTGTTACCCGACAAATCAAGTACCTGCATCTCTTGATCCAGTGACGCTGGCAGAGAACTCAATCCGGCATTCTGACAAAATGCAGACTTTTTTCCTGATGTCCATTTGCAACTGCAAACAACCGGACAGTCCGTCCAATCGGGAAATGCCGCTGCGTGGAGTAACAGTACGTATGTACTGTTTATTATCAAAAGTGATAAAATTGTACGCCCTCGAAGAGGGTGCTTTACTGTTTCTAACATAACACTGTTTTGTAACGTTTCATTTACAGCGGTTCTTCCATTTTCTTTCGTACTTTTTTATGATTCCCATTTATAAACTTTACTTTACTATTTCATCAGGCATCGTTCAATTAATTCCTTTTTATCTGTGATGATTTTTGATGAATTTAATTTTGAAATCTGCAACATAAATACAAAGTAATTAGATAACTGATAGATATGATTAAAAAGTGTGTAGTAAAAATTTTTTTTTTCAAAAATAAACCTCTAAGTGTTTTTGATTAACTTAAATCAATAAATTCATGTTTCAGAATTTCCACACATTTATATATAGGTCAAAAGCTTTTAATTAATAATTGATCTATACTTTTATAAATATTTCCTTTTATCAATTATGAAACAAAATTAATTCAAAAGTAAAAAAATGTAATTACTGAAATTTATCGTTCCGATTTACTAGCTTAATTTGACATGATAATATTTAATAAACTCAGAGTGGAAAAAATATTTTTAATCTAGGCTTGAAAAAATTTTTTTTTTAATTCATATTATGAGTGATTTATTAAAAAAATGTTAGTCTTTTTTTGTTTAAATTTTTTTTTGTAAAATATTCAGGGCGCAATTATTATTTCTATTTTTTATATTGTGTACAATAGAGAAATAAATGTTATAAGCCCTATTACGTGAAATGCATGACTGGGCGTTGTGAAATGACAAATTGCATTAAAATGATTTACGATCGCACGTTGACAAAGAAAAATACTGGATTGATAAAAATAAAAAAAAAAAAAATTGTGACAGATACAATCTAGGTGAACTTTAATAAAATATTCAATTAGTGGGTGTACGTTGTTAATTGGAACAAAAGTAAGCTATATGTAACGACAAGGGGTTACAATAAATAGCTTGAGGTATTAAAAAATTTTCAATTATTATTTTATAATGAATTAACTTACTCGATTATTTCGTATTTCATTATTAATAGTGTTTGCAGTGCTGGAGCCATTTTCCATCGCTTACTAATAAATGCAATCATCATATCGGTGACAAGCATATAATAGTTCATTTTTTTATTTCCTCCACTGGATTGACTTCATTATTCAAGAACCTTCGACATATTGTTTGTTCTCAACTTTTTCCTCATTCCATACTTCACGATTCAGCATGTCTTCAAATCTGAAATCAATAATGCCGTTAAAACTTACTCAAGTTTAAGTATCCATGCTATAATGCAAAAGAGAAAAGTTTTTCTCAAGTATTTGTACTGTAAAAAGCTCTATTGGAACAAGTAAGGATAATTTAACTTATTGTTAAAGAAAAATGATTGGTAAAATTGTAAAAAAATTTTTTTTGAATTAATTAATGAAAGTACTAATAAAAAATTAATTTGATTTAAAAATATTATTGTGAAGAGTTTGATCATCTTGAATCAATAAAAAAAAATCTTGAATAAAATTAAATTCACTTGAACTCAGAACAATTTCTTTGTTCAAGAATTTTTCTGCTTGATTAAAAATCATTCAAGATTTTTTCTTTTAAATCAACTTAATTATTCTATCAGTGAGTTAATTACATTCTATATTATTTTAAGAGCTTCGAAGAGTGACGAAAATAATATACTGTTGATAAAAATAGACTTAAAAATAGCGTTACTTGTGTTAAAAAATAGTTTTTTTCATAAAAGAATATTATAAAGAATAAAAAAATATTCATATACTTGGCTCAACTTTGATGGAAAAAGCTCCGTCATTGAACTTTAAAATTATTTTCAAGGTATTAAGAGCTTGAAAAAAAACCATAAATTTGAAAGCAATATAAAATTTGAAATGAAAAAGTTTTGCATAATTTTTTACGTTATTTAATCCATAATTTCAGTGATAAAATAGAAAATATTTCCTGATGAATGATTTTTTTAATTGCAAAAATTATATAGTTATAACCTGGGATGTTCCTTCTTTCATATTGTCTCTATTTATTTTTATTCGCATAATAATAATAATGTACTTAGTAGTTAATTGGTCTTGTCATGTTCCTTTGGCAAGTAATAAATTATACAAAATTACTTTAATGACATTACTTATTATGACTATAGGAGATAAAAAAATTATACATTTAAATGTAGAGTTAGATTCACTTGTAAAAAAGTTGAAAAAATTTTTTAATAAATGCTTTCAGTGGTCATGAAAAATAAAAAAAAAAGAATGGAAAATAATTGAAAAACTTTTTTTTTTTTTATTTTTTTTTTAATTTTTTAGTTTAGTTACGTCATAAACTACTAAGGTTACATTGAGCGACTACGGTAGGGGTACGACTTTTGAGATTGGTAACT